AAGAATGTGTTAATAATAAACATTCCTGGCAAAATTTCAGTTAAGAAAAATCTGATTTATATATATATATATCTGTCTCTTATACACATCTAGATGTGTATAAGAGACAGTAATAAGACTAGGGCTAGGCCTAGGCCTAACTAGACAGTGCAATAATATGTAATAAAAAGTGCAATTTCGAAAGAAATAAATTAAAATTAAATAAAAAATATATGATATAAAGATTTATAAATATAATACAAAATTCTTTATTTAACTGAATTTAGACATTCCTAAACATGAAATTTGATTTTTTTTCTGCTCCACACAAAAAATAAATGCAGATGAATTTTTTTTATGTTTGATTAGCCTATGCAACACTGCTAGGCTAGACCTAGCCTTACATTGATTTAGGTTCATGATAATATTTTCCGTTGCTAGTATTGGCGCTTGTGAAATACAGTATTTCATTGGAATTTTTTCAAATTTGTTAAAAAAATGATTCTGACCAAGATTTTGACAATTAAACATATCTCAGGCCTACTCGATGGACCGCAATGTGCAAGATGCGAAGTACAAAAACTAATCTCATTAGGGAGGGCGCATTTTATTGACTGTATAAAGTATACACAAAGCGGAGAGCATTCCAGCGTATGCGTTCTACAACCTCTAAATTTGCCTAGTAACGAAGAAGTCATAAAGAAAATGGTAATCCCCTATGAGAAATAGTCTATATTTCTCATTTTTTTATCCTTTTGCGTAAAACAAAGATTTATGCCAATATTTTTCCATGGTTTATAATAATTAGAGTAACGCATATGCACTTTTTCTAAAAAAAAATTATTTATTTAGTGAAATTTTGCCAGGAATATGCTTTAAAATATATTTGAATACTGTACTCGTAAGTGGCAACTAGGTGTTAATACCTTTAACATTATAGATACTTCCTTGCAGTATGAGCTATATAAATGAAGTGTCGTTATTATTATTCTGAATTCTCATTTCGTGCGTTCCATTCTATTTTCTGTAGAATGGTACGCACCGATTCATAATAGTTATATAGTAGCACTAGCTAGCAAATTGCTCAATGTGAGTTTGATATTTCATCTGTTTAAAAGCATCTATACAGATTAACCTATATAGGAGTCATGCAAATTGACTGAAATGGACTGCAAGTATGATTATCACACTGTCGTATTGTTTTATGAACTTATTAATGAATTTTAATGAATTTCTCCTATCAAATATCTTGCTAATTCAAGAAACTACTGTCTATAATACAAAAAATATACAGTACACAGAAATTGTATATATGCATGCATACACTTATATTTATTATGTGTTTATAAGCTGAGCTGTTCATTTGTAATTAGCCTCATTTGTAAAGACCAGTCAAATTCAGTATTTTATGGGGAGAAAAAAGAGCATTATTTTATGGTACCATGACAGTCTGCGATTCGGGCCTGATTAATGTGATACACCCCAAAGGGTATTATCGATTAATTATCCAGACCCAAGATAAATGTTAGGCTATATGTCAACTTACTGAATGCGCTCGAAGTATGTTCTGTACGTTAGACTATCTGTTAACTAGCCGAGTGCAGAAACAGTTACAGATGATAGGTCAACTTGTGCGAGAGCTACTTTGGAACTTGCTTTGCATGCTGGTTCACTGCGTCTATGTAATAATCATTTTGTTTTCAGTTCCTCAATTGGCCATGCAATTGCCAATTTAAGTGCAATTGAACGCCTTCATGTTAAATTGGTTATTGGAGCAGTTGTAATGGATTGTATCTTGAAATTGGTTAATACATAATGCAAGATTTCAGAGTTTTTTATTGTCATCCATCAAGATAATATTTTCATACACATTTTATGATTTAGTTAATTTGGTAATGTTTTCAGTTAACTTGTTTTTGTTTTTTACCAACTGCTTTTTTCCTTTTCTCTCAGGCCAAAATGAGTTTTTGTTATGATGGCATAGAACATATCATTTACTTTAAAATGACAGTTAAATGAACTCAATCGGGTTTCTGGAAGCAAAGTTATGAACGTTTGAATACTTGTCATCTTATCAACTTTCTTAAATCAAGTTTTGAGAAAAATACTTTTATTTTTGGCAGGTTTCTATTCATTTTTGACTAGCTCCCATCCGAAAATTGCTACATTTTACCTCTTACAGTTGGAATTTTAAACTCAAACTTCAGGAATAGTAAGATTAAAAGTTATACTTTATTTATTACACAAAAACCCAATTCACACAAAATTCACGTTGTACGCCCTATTCTGGCTATGAAGGCTTGTTTGTCAATACAGTGCGGTGCGAGTTTACAGCCCTTCTGTGAGCTTGGTTCACAAATGTACTGGGCCTGACTGTAACTTATTCTAGACACTAAATTAGGCCAAACTTTGAACAACTTTGCTATTCCAATGAACTGTAGCAATCCACTCGAAAAATTAAGGTTTTACAGAAGATTCTGACTCAGAAATGCTAAATTAATTAATTAAGTTTTTAGCCAGGGTATGCACTGCATACCTTGCTTGACTGATAGTCCGCCACTGCTTAAATATACAAATTTCAATATAATTAGCTCACGACAGTGTAGGCTTTCCAAGAGACGTTAAATGTATACAACCAAACATACATTTTAATGGTCTCATTCTATTTTTAAATGAAATTTGACTCTTGCGAAACCATGTTCCAATAAAATTTAATTTCCAGTCAGGTGCAATATATGGAATAAATAATAATCAGTTTTCATGTATTCTGTGACCCCTAGCGTAGCCCAGAGGCCTATAATAGATGACCTTTGATTGAAGATCATCTGAACAAATATCTGGGCCGGTATGTAGCAACTATTTTGACAGCTGCCTCTGTGTATATTTTAATATGGTGTGCAGAATCAGTGGAGAGAAGCCTATGAATAGGCCTAGAGTATGGTATTAAGAGTAAACAAATTCATGTTAAGTACCTCTTTAGATTCCTTTGCATATTTAAACATGTAGTGTACGAGTAGGTTTTGGAAAAAGACATTCTTAAAACAGGTTTGTGAAAGTTGCGAAAAATATTCATCATTGTAATACAGTAGTAAATAGACAAGCAAAAACAATCTTGAGCATCTTAACAGGGTAATTGTTGGATATAAGCCTGAATTCATATCATTGTTTAACATGACAGTCCAATGAAAACAAAATAATCCTTTAAAAATGTAAACATACTGATCTGCGCTTCCTAGCTACAGTATTATGGTATACGTTATCTGACCAATAGTAACATGATCACCCCATGATTGTCACATGAACTAGAGAACATAGCACTATTAGATGTATTATTAATTTTGGTTGTATCTCATTATATTATGCCTTGATTATATGAAAGATTGAAAAGATTTTTAACAATTAAATAAGATATCACCCTGATATTCAACCTTTTTAAGCTGGGGGCCAGTTTCAATCTATTGAGACCACCAGCAGGCCAACATAAATTTTACTTCCAATTTTTGTTAATGTCCGCCCCACCCACTTTATAGGCTTACAAGTCTTCCTAATAGGCCTATTATTAGCCTTGGTTTTTTGACATCATCTAAGATAAGCCTTGTTTTGTAAAAATGAGGGATGTAGTTGGCATAGGGAAGGGTGGAGGATACAACAAATTTTCTACCCTTTTACCACTAGAAATTTTCCCCAAAAAAAATATACCGTCATGTACTAAGTAGTTTAAAAAAAATGCCAGCGGCAGAAAGTTCCCGACAAGGAGTCAGTTTCCTTTTCCCTTGATTTGCCTCAGCTCATGGTTGGGGCTGTGGTAGCAAATTTTTTAAATGAACGCCTCTAGATTCTCGGAAATGGCACATTCAGACAGTAAAGACACATCAAAGCAGTGTTTTCAACAGAATGACATGCCAAAAAGCCCGCTCCACGGATCCGCCGATGGCGCTGCTAATGGTTAGATGTACATCATATCTGATCCCTACTTAATCATTTATCCCCATCAGTCTTCCTCTCCCCCATTGAAATTAGGACAAGAATCATCAACCCGTCTCGTCTCCCCATGGCAAGACACTAGATAGATATAGTGAGCTACACTAAGAAACACTAATAATGCCAAAGTAGTCACGTTTTTATTAACAGAAAAACTTTTTCTGTAAGTGTTGAAAATCGGACGGAAAATGATTATTTTGTAGGGATTTTGTGTGGGCCGGATCAAAATCTTTGGCGGGCCGGAGTTTGAATATCGGGGAGTTATCACCTTCAAATGAGACATTTTTAAACACTACACTTTTCAATAATTTACGGACTTTACTACAAAATAGTAAAATAGCAACACATTTCATGTTCTATGCAAAGAATATAAAGAGCAGTTTATAAATGCTAATTATTATTATTATTATTAGTTTTATTATTTTATTAATTTTATTTTTTTATTATTACTATTATTATAATATAGGAGTGTCTTTTTTTGTTTGATCTCTGTGGGTAAATATAGGCTTTGTTGTTGGTAATTATACATTTTTTTCTGAGTGAAGGAAACCATAGAAATTTGTTTTGATGTACTTTGTTATTGGTCTAATCATCTGTTCATTTTCTTTTTATGGATGCACCATTTTCCAAGTGCTATTGTTGTAGGAATGCAGCAACCCCATAAATCATTATTATTATGGTCTTGCAACAGTTGTGGTCTATATTTCTTCTGTCAGGAAATAGAAACAACCTTATAATTAATAATTGCATTATTGCAGTTCTTTTAGATTAATTTTTATAGTAATTATCACCTTAAAGTTTGACTAGAAGAATAATTATACTGTAAAGGATGAATTTTAAATAGCTATTACTTAAAATTTCATGAAAGAATATTAATGCATGCTTAAATGGGCTTCTGTTACAGGAAATACAATATTTGTTTTCTATTATAGGATTGATTATGTCATTGAAGTACAGATAGATAATGGAGGTACACGTCCAAGGTTGTGCCTATAAAATAATTCTAATTAAATAACCACCATAAATATAGGAAACAGAAATTCAAGTTTGGATTACAAAATTTATTAACTGAAGTACCATGTACAATGTATAGCAGAACAGAGATAAGAATATTCTATTGTTAAAAAGTACAAATGTTAGATTCCCCCACTTCCACAAAAATATACTGTTTGCTTACGAAATATCTATTTCTATTTGTCTAGCATAACTTGAACATTAAAACTTGCCAAATACAAAAATATGTTTTTCAAATGAAAGCTGAAATGCTATTACATCACATGAAATGCACAAGTTAAATCCAGAAACACATTTTTGTGAAGAAATATGCTATTTACTTTTTTACCTCTACATTAATGTTGTTTTACTATGGTGATAGGATTTTGCTGGACAGATTGAGAGAACCTGAGAAGTTATCACTTTTGTTATCACTTTCTAGGAAGTATAACTAAATTCTATAAAAAACATCAGTGCATTGATGTTTTCTGCATCTTATTAATCTTTACATGCTGGTTCCCGGTCGTATCAGTTTAACAAAGAAATTTTAAGTCTTTAGAATACACTGTGTTACCTTATTATTATTCTTATTTTTTGGGATTTCCTTATTACCAGAAACATATTTATAGCCATGATCGTTGGGTTACATTTATAATTTCTCCTAAAGTTGTAATGGTAAACACCAAACAGTTAGTCAGTAATACTACAGAATTATCAAGAACATAATCAAGCAAAATGTTCATACTTAGTTGGCATCGTGAAATGAAGTTTTGCATTTAAGTTTCACATTTCAAATACACAGGATAACTGTACCTCACATACTGGACTTTATTAGCAATTAAAATGTATGTTTACATATGTGATCAATATATATCGATATTCAAATGAACTGATCTAAATAACTGAATACTGTAGCTATTAAAAGTTGATATTGAAATTTGATATATATAAATATTAAAAGTTGGAATAAATTATTGGGGGTTATACATAAATAATGGCATGCTAGCTAGCTATTCAAATAATTGCATTTAATACAACATACCCAGTAACTTGTTTGTATTATAAATTATGGGTTACCAGTTCCTCTTCATTTCTTGAATTCTTTTATTATAATGGAATCAATGATTTATGTTATTGATACCAAATAGAAAAGAAAATGAAAAGACACCAATTGTAAGTGAATATAGGCAATAATATTTACATATTTATAACCAAATAGGCTAAAACTGCCAACATGGTCAAAAAGATTTGCAAAAATTTTTATCTGTTTTATTGGTGACTTATTAATTTTCAGTATGATATTCCCCTCCTTTATTATTTTGTTATCTTTATTCTGGCTAATATTTGTATCCTCCAATTGCAACTGAAGGAAAATTGTGAAGTTTCAAAATGATATCCTAAACAATAATTTGAAAACTTATTGAAACATGAAAACATGTCATTGTAAATAATAAAAAATAAAAAAGCAATTGTATTATTGCAGTTTTGAGCTTTTTTTTAAAGTTCTTTTCCATACCTCTTTTCAAAATGCAAATTATGGAAAACAGAAAACCAAAAATGTTCATTAGCTGGAGACTAAATATAGATGTTACCAATCTTTAGTTTTCTTTGTGTGTCCATATTGTTGAAGTGGAGCAATAATTCACAACAATAGCACTTCCATAATTTTACATGCTTTCAAATCCTATGAATATGATCCGGTGATCTCCAAAAACAAATCCACAGCTTGCAATAATAATTTCCATTTAAAGTTCAAAATAAGACATGTATATTTGCTGGAGTAGATGTCTTATATTGAATCCTAATGAAACAATCCTTCTCTTAAACTTTCAAGTATCAAGTTTCTCACAAATTTACCACCACATTGCTGGAGCTGTGGTGAAGAATATGTTATGACACAGTTCCACACTTTGTAGAAAACATCAACTGGAGCTATTGTTCATTTCTACATACGCTTATCAAATCGCTTCCTTTGCTCACTGTTAATATACAGGTTCAAATAATAATGTTATATGCTGAAGACAAAAATTTGCCTTTTTCGTATTTCCAAACAACTGATCAAGTAGTTGTTTCTAAAATCTAAATGAAACACTTCAGCTTGCATTTCCGTGCTATCTTTCAGTAAGGTTCCTTAAAAATTGAGCATGACATTCCCATGCAAATTATGAACAAGGCACGCAACCAAGTCTTATGTTCATGTCGTGAGGTAGACAAAATTGACATGTCAATTCTTCAATATTGTACTCTCAAATTATTTACTTCAGTTTTTATTTCTTTTCATTGTCAGATTCTGATGAACTGGAAGATGAGGAGGATGAAGAGGATGAGGATGACGAGCTAGATGAGCCTCCTGTTAAACGACTGATAAGTCCTCGCTTCTTTTTCTTTTTTCGCTTTTTCTTTTCTTTCTTTACTTCAACATCTGCTCCTCCCTCAACCTTAGCACCACCTCCAAGACTAAAAGCTATTCCTCCACCACTTGAAACATCAGGGACAGATGGAACTTCAATATCTGCTCCTTCCTCAACATTAGCACTGCCTCCAAGACTAAAAGCAATTGCTCCACCACTAGAAACATCAGGGGCAGATGGAACTTCAACATCTGCTCCTCCCTCAACGTCATCACTGCCTCCAAGACCAAAAGGTATTCCCCCGCCACCTGAAACATCAGGGACAGATGGAACTTCTACCGAGACTTTTCCACTTCCATCCATATCTCCATCAACACTGGAACCCATTGAAATATCTGGAGCACCTGAAGGTGAAATTAAAACATTGATCAACTATTCAAATTTACAACCACAATATCATTATTCACAGCAAAATATTTTCGTTTCTTTCAAGAGGTTTTTTCTCACAACCACATTAGAATGCCTTTGAATTACATATTAACATTAAATACATCAACATCAGAACATAGAAGTTAGTATTAGTAGTACTATAGTTAGTTAGTATTTATTTAATAATAATTATTTCAATTTAAAAAAAAATCAAAATCAAATAATATAGTGAAACAGCCTTTTTATCATTGCAGTTGGCTATTTTGTAACTTTAATTGTGTAGATCTGCACAGTTTAGTTCAAACACACCAAAAGGTCATGGGTAATTATTTAACATTTTATTTATTAAGCACAATATTTGTACATTTTTCATGCCAAGAGCAAGCAAAATATAACAAATAATAACATTCAGTGATATGAGATGATGAATATTAATTTCAAGCCATGTTAATCTCTTGTACAACTAGTATTTCTTATATAACATCATACAGATTATCTTGTATATTGGACAAAATACCATGAAATTGTACTTATAATCTTTAATTAAATATGTATAATTATTTGAACAAGTCTAGATTTTGTACAGTTATAATTTCTTATAAATTAACTAAACTACTCATTTAGCAGTACTGTAAATTCAACTGGCAAATTTACCAGTCAAAACAGCTAAATGTAGTGTTGCAAGAGACAGCAAATCACAAGTATCAAGTAAATCAAAACTAATGTGAACTATTTAGCTTATACTATAAACTCCTGCCCTTCTTACAGTGTATGTCAAAACATTTTATATCTGTAATCAAATTGAGTCTGATGTTTGAATACCACCACAAACACCTTAATAATCAGGCCAATAAGGCTTTGGTATCATAATGATAATATGGTGTATACAAATTGAGTAGATCATTAAAATATAGAAACTGACAAAGTACAGTAGTTATTGCATTGTTTTGTAAATTTCTTTATTTAAAACAAGATTAATATGTAAGAAATAAACAAATTATAAATATTTATGTAAAATCATATATGAATAATATATATGAATATATATGAATAATTTGATAACCATACAAAATTACATTGCTGGAGATTACAAAACTGCTCTCACATTACATCTTAATCTCAAATTTGAAAATGTATACTGTATATGCATTTAATTGTAATTAGGACTACATCTACCTATGTTAAAACTAATTCTAACAAAGCAGTGTAAGCAATTAGTAGGGCTTGCTAAGTGTAAGGTAAACAATTGATTTTGTGTAAGGTTAGCAGGTAACTCACATTAATTTCAGCCAGTTTGTTGCAACATTCCATACACAGACCCAAATGAAAATACTTGTGAACCAAAACTTGATACACACTTTCATTTGTTGTTCTTCTCCCAGTGTTTAACACTGCTGGAAGACACATTATCATTCCTCAAGTTTTGGTTCCGTATCCATGGTCTATGCATATCTCACCTGCGGACAATTGAAAGTGTAAGCCACCACCACCACCGAGGCTGATAGCAGGTGCAGCAGGTGTGCCAACATCTTCACTTGGTTTGTCAATAATTGCATCACCACCAACACTGAGAGAGGGTATGCTAAAATCTATGTTAGATTTGTCAATGCTTCCACCACCACCACCACCACCAAGATCTACACTTGGTTTTTCCATATGTGTGCAGCCACCACTACTAACATCTGGAGTGCCAACTTCTGCAGTTGGTTTGTCAATACTTGCATCACTACTAAGACTGAGGTCAGGTTTACTGACATCTAAACTGGGTGTGGCAAATCTTGCACTATCACCAAAACTGAGATCAGGTATGTCAACATCTAAACTTGGTTTATCAATACTTGTATCAACACCAAAACTAAGATCAGGTTTGCTGACATCTAGACTAGGTTTGGCAACACTTGTGCCACCACCAAAACTAATACCTGGTGTGCCAACATCTAGACTGGGTTTGGTAATACTTGCACCACCACCAAAACTGAGATCAGGTATGTCAACATCTAAACATGGTTTATCAATACTTGTATCAACACCAAAACTAAGATCAGGTTTGTTGACATCTAAACTAGGTTTGTCAGTACTTGTACCACCACCAAAACTGAGATCAGGTTTGCCGACATCTAGGCTGGGTTTGTCAATACTTGCACGACCACCAAAACCAAGATCTAGTGCGCCACCTTCTAAACTTGGTTTGTTAATGCCTGCACTGCCACCAGCACTTGGATCAGGTATGCTGACATCAAGACTGGGTTTGTCAATAGTTGCACCACCACCAAAACTGAGATCAGGTGTGCCAACATCTAGATTAGGTTTGTCAATACTTGCAACACCATCAAAACTGAGATCAGGTGTGCCAACATCTAAACTTGGTTTGTCAATACTTCCACCACTGCCAAAACTTAGATCAGATGTGCCATTATCTAGACTTGGTTTGTCAATACTTGGACCACCACCAAAACCAAGATCTGGTGTACCAACTTCTATACTTGGTTTTTCAATACTTGCACCGCCACCAAAACTTAGATCAGGTGTGTCAACATCTATACTGGATTTGTCAATTCTTGCATCACCACCAAAACTCAGATCAGGTTTGCTGACCTCTAGACTTGGTTTGTCAATATTGGCACCACCACCAAAATCAAGATCTGGTGTGCCAACATCTAAATTTGGTTTGTCAATACTTGCACCACCACCAAAACTAAGATCTGGTTTGCCGACATCTAGACTGGGTTTGTTAATACTTGCACTACTACTAAAACCAAAATCTGGTGCGCCAACATCTAAACTTGGTATGTCAATAGTTGCACCATCAGGGGTGCCAACATCTATATTGGGTTTGTGAATACTTGCATTACCACCAAAACTGAGATCAGGTTTGCTGACATCTAGACTGGGTTTGTCAATGCTTGCACCACCACCAAAACTCGGATCAGGTGTGTCAACATTTAGATTGGGTTTGTCAATACTTGCACCACCACCAAAACTTAGATCAGGTTTACTGACATCTAGACTGGGTTTGGTAATACTTGCACCACCACCAAAACTTAGATCAGGTGTGTCAACATCTAAACTTGGTTTGTCAATACTTGCACCACCCCCAAGACTAAGATCAGGCTTGCTGACCTCTTGACTGGGTTTGCCGATACTTGCTCCACCACAAAAACTGAAATCAGGTTTGCTGACGTCTAAACTTGGTTTATCAATACTTGCACTGCCATCAAAACTGATACCTGGTGTTTGAACACCTTCACCCGATTTGTCAATATTTGCACCTCCATCTAAATTAAAATCAGTTGTTTCAGGATCTCTCCCAAAGTTGATATTTGGTTTACCAATATTAAAATTGGGTTTGCCAATACTTGCACCACCTCCAAGACTGAAACCTAGATTTCCAACATTCAAACCACCTCCAAAGTTGATATCAGGTGCACCTACATCACAATTTGGTTTGTTAATAATATGTCATCACCAAGACAGAGAATTGATTTATTGTTATGTATACCTTCACCTAAACTTCTACCAGACACTATTATCTCTGTACCTAAATTACCTTTTGGTTTATCATCTGGTACAATTTTGGAAAGGATTGAACTCAAGAAGAGTCCAAATCCACTTTCTTTCTCATGTTCCGGTTCTGAATCAGATGATTCAGAGGGATCGTTTCCAAACAAGGTTCCAAACATTGGCTTTTTTTTCTTGGTCTCTATTTCAATTTGAGGAGATTCAACTGGTATATCAGAATTTGTTTTAGCTTCAGGTGGGACTTTAGGATTTGAACTCAAACTAGGCAGTATATAGTCAAGGATGCCTTTACTTTTGTTGTCATCTTCATCACTAGAAGTGGATGAAGACTCTCTTAATTTATCGCCAAATCCAAAATTGAATTCAAATACACTTTTTGGTTTCTTCATCTTATTGCTGTCATGCTTTTCAGTAGCCCCTGAAAATATTTTAGGAAAACCTCTACTGTATATGTAATGTAGGCCTGTTTAAGTTTATACATACTGAATATACAACTTTAATATAAAAGGATTTTTTGTAAATTTGGTAAAACTATAATACTGAAAATAATAATTATTATAATATTAAATATAATGATAATAATAATATCTATTACTATTATTTTTATTATTATTATTATTATTTTTATTATTATTATTATTATTATTTTTATTATTATTATTATTGTTATTATTATTTGAAATAATTGTGGACTCATAAGTGCATAAGTAAATGTTGATTATGGATTCTCAATTAGCTAAAGCTTGTCTAAATTTAGCTGACAATCTATTATATTTGGCAGTAAAATTAATGTTAACCATGAACATATACAGGTATGCTTTTCCAAATTTATATCTCTGCCTCATACAAGAGGGGTTTATATTTGTTTTAATATTCAATAAGAGTGTCCTATATGGGGAAAAAATTAAAACAATATAGACCTTTGCACTGATGTCACATTTCCAAAGAGCCTTTGTAATTTATTATCTTGTAGGTTTAACAAATAAATAGATATTTATAAGCTAGGCGAGTTAAATTTTGCTGTTTTGCAGGTTTTTTGTAATGCCATCAGTATACTGGACCATCAAACAACATGAATTGTATTGAACACATGACAAACATGTTCTACATAAACTAAGTTTCATTATGAAGCTTAGGGAGTTTTGTTTGTAAAGCAAAAACCTTGATATTTGACAGGAATTCAATCTAGGGCTCTGATTTGAAGGACACAAGCATCTTAAACCCCAAGCTACAGCACCATTGAGTGTTTTATGAATGTGACAATAAATATAAAAATTTCCCAATGAGAGAAATTATGTGTGGCAGAGAAATATATATTTTTTTAGCCTAATAATAACAACAACTCTTCCCAGCGTGTATTACACATTATTTTCCGGTCCAGATTTTTAACATTTGGAAAAACTTTTACCGTTTTATGTTTCAATGCTTTTGTTTAACATACAAGATAACAAACCAAAAAAAGATATGGGAGATATTACGGCTCATGAAAACAGACTATTACAACTCTGTTAGATCAAGAACAACATGAATACAAAAATACCCTATTACTATCATAACAATGATAAATAATTTAAAAATAATATTTTTATTTTAATACACTTTTGTACAACAATGAACACAATTAATCACAAATAAACATTGCAAGAAAAGCAAACATTTAGGTAAATTGCATAACGGCACTATCCGGAGAAAGAAACAAGGAGCCTATGCCCTGAAATGTTGGCTACAATCTTTCACAAACATTTTAACACAGATTAATTAAACCTGGGTAGCTTGCATATGCTGTCAGTATTAAGGCTTGCTTTAGTTTATTCAATCTTTTTAGAACTTAATCAATATTTGTTCTATTGCTTAATTTTATGGTAAAATCCCTCTTTCATAGTTTAATTAGTAGCCTTTTCTATGCTTAATTGATATACAAATAGTATACCCAAATTGCAACCGCTTCTGCTGCCTTACAGCATTTAGTAAGATGTGCAATAATAACTGTAACTTGGAACCACATGATGGCCTGCAAACAGAATTTTTAATTTGTAATGGTTTACCGTGTTGAAAAAAACTTACCAGTAGATGCTGTACCTCCAATTCCTCCATCAAGAGATGGCATGTCAACATCAACGCTACTTCCGATTTCACCTGTAAGTGATGGTTTTTCAATATTAACTCCACCTCCGATTCCTGCTCCAAATGAGGATGTATCAATTTCAACACCACTTCCACCTCCTATTTCACCTTCAAATGATGGTTTTTCAATATCAATTCCATCTCCAATTTCTGCTCCAAATGATGGTGTTGAAACATCAACTCCACTTCCAATTCCTCCTTCAAGAGATGGTGTGCCAACATCAATTTCACCTCCAATTCCACCTCCAACTGATGGTTTTTCAATATCTATTCCACCTTTGATTGCTTCTCCAAATGATGGTGTGTCAACATTAACTCTGCCTCCAATGTCACCTCCAAGTGATGGTTTTTCAACATTAAGTCCACCTCCGAATCCTCCTCCAAAGGATGGTGCATTAACATCAGTTCCTATTCCACCTTCAAAGGATGGTTTGTCAACATCAGCTCCACCTCCAATTTCACCACTTTCAATTGATGGCTTTTCCACTTCTAAATCTTTAAAAAAAATGTATCGTAACATAGACAATCTTAACTGAATTCAACTAATGTAATTACATAATATATGAATTTATACCACACCTTTTACTAAAGGATACAATGCACTAGCACCGTTATTATTACCCCAGTAAATGACAACCTTCTCCAATTCCCGGGGAGCATACCTAGTCATGCTGCATTGAGCAAACAAATGGGTGATTCCATAAACGGTAGAGCCAACGGTTAAGTACAGTGACTGTACAGTACCTTCAGTGGATATATTTTAATGTTTCTAGAGTTCCGATGTTACCACTATCACACTGTTCTAAATAAACTTCCATTTTTCCTACTAGGTACCCATTTATAATGCTGGATAGAGAGAGGCAATGGCCTTAGCCAGGAGCACAAGTGATATGCTCAAACTACTGACCACAAGGTTGAGTGGCCGAACTGCCACTGACACGCTATCCGCAACTACATACATGCTCTGAGTAAGTCTTGAAAGTTATTAGCTTTCAATTATAATTGAGAATGTGAAAATATTTTATGTGATAATGAAAATTGTATTTGATTTTAGGTTTCTTTAATAAATTAATGGGGTGGTTTGTTATAAAATAAAAATTACAATGAACTGAATATAGACAGAATTTGCATCAAAAATACTATATACATACCAAGATCAGCTTTTGGTGTGCTTACACCAAAACCTCCAATGCCAAATCCAGGTTTTGAGGTCTTAACATCAACATCAACATTGGGTACAACTGCAGCAGTATCCATTTCTATATCTGGGATTTCAGCATCAGCTTCAGGTACTTCTATATTACCTCCAAAGCCAACATTCAGTGCAGGCTTATTTAGATCAATTTCTGCTTTTGGCTTTGATGACTTTATATCTACATCAACATTTGGTTTAACAATATCAACATCAAGAGCTGGTGCTGTGACAATTGTAGTAGCTGGTGATCCAACACCACTAGCAGAAATATCAATGTCACCTGAAATATCACCTGATGAGTTAAATTCAGCTTTAGGAGCCAATTTTCCTGCCAGATCAATCTTTGGATGGTCAGCTTTTGGCTTGTCAACAGGAGATACATCTACTGTGGGTTTCTTAACTCCAAATCCTAGGGATAGCTTCCCCTTATCCTCATCAGTGTCTGATTCTGTAGTACTGTGATGTCCTTTTTTACCCCCTCCAAATGAAAATCCAAATCCTTTCTTTTTTGACTTTTTCTTAGGAAGATCTGCTTTGACTGAAGCATCCGCATTGACATCTGCATCAGGTAATTTCACATCAGAAGTAGCACCTCCTTTTGGTGACTTGACTGAACCGCCAATCTTAGGAAGCTTGAAACCAAATCCTCCCTTTGCTTTTCCATGATCTCCTTCATCTTCACTTGATGATGTTGTTGATTCATTGTGTTTCTTTCCACCACCAAAACCAAATTTGAAACTTCCCTTAGCTTTTGGTTTTTTTGGTTTTGCAATATCAGCCTCATCAATGTTGGATTCTAATTTTACTTTCGGGCCATCAAAATCACCATCACCATCAAGTTTAACTCCTACACCAGGGAGACCTGCTGAAATTTCACCTGCAGGTGAACTTGGCTTTGTTGTTTTCACATCAACATCAACAATAGGGCTGACAACATCTGCATCTCCTTCTACCTTCAACTTTCCTTTTGGCAGCTTCCCACCAGCATCGACATCATGTTTCTTTCCACCAAATCCAAATCCAAATCCTCCTTTAGATTTGGGTTTTTTTAATTTAGTAGCTGCATCCAAATCTACATCAGGAACATTTTCACCAGCTTTGATATCTAGATTAGGACCACCAATTTTTATGTCACCACCAAAGTTAGCACCTGGAATATCAGCGTTTACTCCTCCTTTGGGAACGTTGACATCAATGCCTCCTCCAATCGATACATCAGGATTTGCAGTTTTAACATCAACATCAACTACAGGTGCAACTGCACTGGCATCTAGGTCTCCTCTAATACCTCCTTTTGGTAGACTTCCATCAACATCAAATCCGGCTCCTCCCCCAACAACAGCATCTGGTCCAGATAAGTCTATGTCAGCTGAGGGGAGATTTGCGCCAGCATCAATATCAATGTTACCAGATGGCACCTTTCCTCCTACATTAGCATCAATATCAAGGTCTCCATTTAGGGCACCTTTTACTTTTCCTTTTGGAGACTTGCCTGAAAAATTAGGAAATTTTAATCCAAATGATCCCCTCTTTTTCTTCTTTTCATCTTCAGAATCTGAAGAACTGCCATCATGATCTTTCTTTCCTCCAAAGCCAAATCCAAATCCAAACCCTCCTTTGGCTTTAGGTTTCTTCATTTTAACATTTGTATCCAAATCTACATCTGGACCTTTTCCACTGGCACTGATATCTAGATCAGGACTACCAATTTCACCACCTAACATTGCATCTGGAAGATCAGCTTTTGCTTCTCCTTTGGGAACATCAACATCAAGGCCACCTCCAATTGATATGTCAGGATTTTCTGTTTTTACATCAGCATCAATAGCTTGGGCAACAGCATCTAGGTCTTCTGCAATATTAATTGTGGTATCTGGTAATTTTCCCTCAATGCCAATCCCGGCTTCTCCCCCCACTTTAACATCTGGTTCAGACAAACCGAGATCCGCAGATGGAGATGGAACCTTTGTACCAGCATCGATGTCTACATTACCAGATGGCATCTTTCCTCCAGCATTTATGTCAACTCCAGCTTTTCCCTTTGGAGATTTGCCAGAAAAACTTGGAAATTTAAAACCAAATGATCTTCTCTTTTTTTTCTTTTCATCACCAGATTCTGAGGAACTGTCATCATGATCTTTTTTCCCTCCAAATCCAAATCCAAATCCTCCTTTGGATTTCGGTTTCTTTAATTTAGTATCTGTATCCAAATCTACATCAGGAGCCTTTCCACCTGCTTTGATATCTACATGTGGGACACCAACTTTGACATCGCCACCCGTGTCAATTCCGAAATCAGGGATATCTCCTTTTACACCTCCCTTAGCTCCAACATCAATATCAACATCACCAGATGGAACATTTCCTTTCATGGTAGCATCCAGATCTTTCTTTCCACCGAATCCAAATCCTCCTTTAACTTTGGGCATCTTTATTTCAGCATCAGCATCCAAATCAGAAACGTTTCCACCAATTGTAACATCTAAATCTTGTCCATCAACTAAAATGTCACCACCCAATTTTGCTTCTGCATCAGGTAAATCAGTTTTTAATCCTCCCTCTGGAACACCAACATCAAGGCCTCCACCATTGGAAATATCAGGTTTTGCTGTTTTAACATCAACATCAACTACAGGTGCAATTACCCCGGCATCAAGGTCTCCTCCAAGATTAATTGCTCCTTTTGGTAGTTGTCCATCAACATCAATGCCAGCAGATAAATCAGCTGATGGTAGATTGGCACCAGCATCAATATCAACATTACTAGATGGCACCTTTCCGCCTACATTAGCATCAATATCAAGGTCTCCATTAAGGTCACCTTTTACTTTACCTTTTGGAGACTTGCCTGAAAAATGAGGAAATTTCAATCCAAATGACCCTCCCTTTTTCTTCTTTTCATCTTCAGAATCTGAAGAATTGTCATCATGGTCTTTCTTTCCACCAAATCCAAAACTAAATCCAAATCCTCCTTTGGCTTTGGGCTTCTTCATCTTAGCATCTGCATCCAAATCGACATCTGGGACTTTTCCACCAACTTTGATATCTTGATCTGGGCCACTAACACTGATGTCACCACCTACATTTACTTTAGAATCTGGGATGTCAGCCTTCACACCTCCCTTGGCTCCAGTGTCAATATTAATATCACCCGATGGTACCTTTTCTCCTGCAGTAATATCAATGTCTGCTTTCCCTTTAGGAGACTTAGCAGAAAAATGTGGGAATTTAAATCCAAATGATCCCTTTTTCTTGTCTTCTGAATCTGAAGAACTGTCATCATGATGTTTCTTTCCACCAAATCCGAATCCAAATCCTCCTTTAGCTTTAGGTTTCTTTGTGTCTGGAAGATCAGCTTTTACTTCCCCTTTAGGAACGTCAACATTAAGGCCGCCTCCAATGGGTACATTAGGCTCTACTGTTTTAACATCAACTTCAGGTGCATCTACACTAGCATCTATATCTCCTCCAATATTAATTTCTTCTTTTGGAAGTTTTCCATCAACATTAATTCCAGCTCCTCCTGATAAATCCAAATCAGGAGATGGAATATTGGCACCGGAATTAATATCAATGTTACCAGAAGGCAACTTTCCTTCTACGTCCGCATCAACGTCCAGGTCTCCATTTAGGTCACCTTTAACTTTTCCTTTTGAAGATTTGCCTGAAAAATGGGGAAATTTAAATCCAAATGATCCCCCCTTTTTCTTCTTTTCATCCCCCGATTCCGAAGAACTGTCGTCATGGTCTTTCTTTCCACCAAATCCGAATCCAAATCCAAATCCAAATCCTCCTTTAGCTTTGGGCTTCTTCAGTTTAGCATCTGCATCCAAATCTACATCAGGAGCTTTCCCACCAGCTTTGACATCTAGATCACTGCTCAACTTTACATCTGGAAGATCAGCTTCTACTCCTCCCTGGGGAAAACCAATATCAGAACCACCTCCAATGGATACATCAGGCTTTGTTATGTTAAGGTCACTGCTTAACTGCGTATCTGGAAGTCCTGCTTCTACTCCTCCCTTGGGAAAATCAATATCAGAGCCACCACCAATGGATATATCAGGCTTTGTTATGTTAAGGTCACTGCTTAACTGCTCATCTGGAAAGCCTGCTTCTACTCCTACTTTTGGAAAATCAATGTCAGTGCCACCTCCAATGGATACATCAGGCTTTGTTGTTTTAACATCAATATCAACAGCTGGAGCAATTATATTAGCATCAAGGTCTCCACCAACATTAATTTCATCTTTTGGTAGTTTTCCTTCAACATCAATTCCAGCCCCTCCCCCCACTTTAACATCGGGTACAGATAAATCTATATCAGCTGATGGAAGATTGGAACTAGCATCAATATCAACTTTACCAGATGGCAACCTTTCTCCTATATCAGCATCCATATCAAGGTCTCCATTTAGGTCACCTTTTACTTTCCCTTTAGGAGACTTAAAATGTGGAAGTTTAAAACCACCAAATCCAAATCCTCCTTTGGCTTTGGGTTGCTTCAGCTTAACGTCTGCATCTACATCTGCATCTGGAACTTTTCCACCAGCTTTAATATCTATGTCTGGCTTTTCTGTTTTCACATCAACATCAACTGCAGGTGCAACCTTGCCACCATCTAGGTCACCTGCAACATCAATTCCAGCTCCTTCAAATTTTACATCTGGTCCAGATAAATTTAAGTCCGTTGATGGAATTTTTCCTCCAGCATCAACATCACCAGGTGACATATTTCCTCCAACATCAACATCAATATCTCCATTTACACCACCTTTGACTTTTCCTTTTGGAGACTTGCCAGAAAAATGTGGAAATTTAAAACCAAATGATCTTCGCTTTTTCTTCTTATCATCGTCTGATTCTGAGGAACTATCATCATGATCTTTCTTTCCACCAAATCCAAATCCAAATCCAAATCCTCCTTTGGATTTTGGTTTTTTCAGTTTAACATCTGCATCCAAATCCACATCAGGGACATTTTCACCAGCTTTGATATCCAAGTCTGGACCACTAACATTGATGTCACCACCAGCAATTGCTCCTACATCAGGTAGCTCAGCATTTATTTCCCCTTTTGGACCACTAACACCACCTCCAATGGATATATCTGGCTTTACTGTTTTTACATCAACATCAACAGTTGGTGCAACAACATCACCATCTATATCAATATCTCCTGATGGCATTTTCCCACCTGCATCAATATCAATTCCTCCAGATGGTGGACTACCTCCTGCATCAATATCTAGGCCTCCTGATAGCAATTTTCCTCCTGCATCAATATCAACTGCTCTTGATGGTAATTTACCTCCTGCATCAATTTCAATTCCTCCAGATGGCAATTCTCCTCCTACATTAATTCCTCCTGAAGGCAACTTCCCTCCTGCATCAATATCAATTCCTCCTGATGGCAATTTCCCTCCTGCATCAATATCAATTCCTCCTAATTGCAATTCACCACCTGCATCCATATCAACTCCTCCTGATGGCAACTTCCCTCCTGCATCAATATCAATTCCTCCTGATGGTAATTTCCCTTCTGCATCAATATCAATTTCTCCCGATGGTAACTTCCCTCCAGTATCAATATCAATTCCTCCTGATGGCATCTTTCCTCCAGCATCCACATCAATATCACCTTTAATTCCTCCCTTAGGAGACTTTCCAGAAAACTTGGGAAACTTGAATCCAAATGACCTGCGTTTTTTCTTCTTCTCATCACCAGATTCTGAAGAACTGTCATCATGATCTTTCTTCCCACCAAATCCAAAACCAAACCCTCCTTTGGCTTTTGGCTTTTTTACTTTAGCATCAATGTCAGCTTTTGGGACATCAATATCGCCGCCTAATTTAGGACCAGCGATGGTTACTTCAGCATCTCCTTTTGGAAAGTTTATATCAAGGTCACTACTAATTGCTGGCTTTGTTGTTTTTGTATCTATATCCACTGCAGGTGCAACAACCCCAGCATCAAGTTCACCATCAATTTTAGGTGCATCTACCCCTGTGCTTCCTCCAAGGTCTGGTCCTGAGACATCCAGATCAACTCCAATACCTCCAGTTGGCTTCTTTCCTGTAGCATCAACATTAACCCCTAAGTCTCCGTCAAAGTCACTTTTCACTCCTCCTTTGGGAGACTTTCCCGAGAACTTAGGAAACTTGAATCCAAATGATCTTCTCTTTTTCTTTTTTTCATCACCTGATTCAGAAGAACTGTCATCATCCTTTTTACTGCCGAAGCCAAATCCAAATCCTCCTTTTACTTTTGGTTTTTTCGCATTAACATCTGCATCAATATCTAATCCGGGACGATTTAGATCAACATCGGGAGCACCTCCCACATTAGGGCCACTAAGACTTAAATCTGCTTCTGGGATGTTGGCTGAAGGACCTTCTATATTAACACTGCCTCCAATGTCACCCTCAAGCATAGGTCCTTTCAAATTTACATCCGCATCTGGCATATCATTTTTTATTTCTACCTTTGGTATGTCAACACCTCCACTGGCGTCAAGATCTGGTCCTGATACATTTAGGTCAGCTGAAGGACCTCCAATTGACAAATCAGGTTTCTCAGTATTAACATCAGCATCGACCACTGGAGCAACGACATCAATATCTCCTCCACCACTTGCTTTGACATTAACGTTTGGTTCATTAACATCAACATCAAGTTCTGCAGCCTTTTTTGGTGACCCAAAGTTAAAGCTTGGAAATTTAAATCCAAATCTAAATCCTTTCTTTTTCTTGTGACCAGCATCTCCATCAAATTCTCCAGATGCATCAAGATCAATCTTCGGAGTGTCTGTATCAACTTTTAAATTTGTTGAGTCTACTTCAACCCCTGGTCCATCTAATTCACCTTTTACTTCTCCACCAACATCAATATCTGCAGAGGTTTCAGGATCGATATTTGGTGCATTAACATCAGCTTTTAAAGTGCCTTTCGGAGATTTGCCACCAAAGCCAAATTTAGGTAATTTAATATGAAAGCCATCACTGGATTTCCCTTTCATGTCTAAATCACCATCAACATTAACATCAACGTCTCCATCTATATCTGCATCAGCTTTTGGGCTTTTGACCTTGCCTTTTGGAAATTTCAATCCAAATCCACCTTTAGGCTTTTCTACCTCAGCACCAGCTTTGACATCAACATCTGGTTTCTTTCCACTAGGAATTTTTACACCACCACCAACATCACCTGAGATGCCAACATCAGCATCACCTCCAAGATCTATGTCACCTTTAGGAACACTCACATCTCCTACATCCAAATTGCCTTCAGCAGCCTTCACATCTGAAGCAATACCAGCTCCTCCTTCAACGTCCAAATCTATATTTGGAACATTAACTTCATCACCACCCTCAAGTTCTAATTTTGGCAGATTAGCATCCAAATCGCCTTCTATGTTGACACCAGCGTTAGCATCAACATTTCCTTCTGGAGCTTTTCCTCCCATTTTAAATTTTGGTTTCTTGATTCCGAATGATCCAGTTTTCTTCTTTTTTGCCTTAGCATCACCTACATCAATACCTGTGTTTATGTCAGTATCAGCTTTAGGTGGGTCAATATCAGCCTTTGCACCATATGCAGAAGTATCTGTGTCAACTGTGGCCTTACCACTAGGTGAAAGACATGGAATATTGATTTTAGGCATTTTGCCTTTTGCTTCTACATCACTGTCAAGGGTACCCGATCCATCAGGTTTGTTTTTCTTTTTTCTAAAAGACAAACTTAAAGTCCCTTTCTTCTTTGGTGTTTTTGCTTTGGTACTGATATCTAGGTCCACATCTGTTGAAACATCAAGATTAGCATTTGGGTTCTTAACATCAACATCTCCACCTCCTTCCAAAGATAATGGCATATCACCTTCAGGTACTTCACCACTAATATCAGCATCAACGTCTGGTTTAGCAACTTTAACATCAGCATCTAATTTAGGTGCCACAAGATCAGCTCCACCATCAATTTCTACTTTGGGACTACCAATGTCCTTCATACCTTTCATTTCTATGCCAGCATCAGCATCAGCATCTACATCTACATTTGTGTCATAGCTACCTTTTCCACCAAAGTGGAATTTAGGAAGATGCAGTCCAAATCCACCCTTGTGTTTGTGTTTGCCATGTCCCTCTCCATCTGCAGTAATGTCGATATCAACATCAGCTCCTGCTTTAACCTTTGGTTTTTTTTCTTTCTTAAAAGATGGCATTTTAGGTTTTTTCCATTTCTTTCCTTTTGGGGTCTTTACATCAATATCGCCAGAAGCCGTGGGAACATTAGCATTGATGCCTCCTTCAATTTCGACACCACCTCCGATATCACCACCTTTTGCTAATTCACCACCAACTCCTCCAATATTAATGCTGGGACCACCAATATTTACTGAAGCATCTGTAGAGGGTATACCAGGATTTCCACCTCCATCACCAATGCCAGCACCACCTGCAATTTCCGCACTAGGTCCTTTAATGTCAAGATCAGCTGAAGGAACGTCCTTTTCTATGTTTCCACTTAATCCAGCACCCCCTCCGATTCCAAAACTTGGTCCTTTAATAGCTGATGGAACATCACCTTCTACATTCCCACTGAGACCACCTATTCCACCACTAGGTCCTTTGAAATCAATATCAGCTGACGGAACATTGCCTTTTATGTCCCCACCAATTTCGGCACCACCACCTATTTCACCACTAGGTCCTTTAATGTTAAAATCAGTTGATGGAACTTTACCTTCTGTGTCGCCCCCAAATTCAACACCACCTCCTATTCCACCACTAGGCCCTTTAATGTCAATATCAGCTGATGGAACATCACCTATGTTTCCACCAAATCCAGCACCACCTTCGAAATTACCACTAGGTTGTTTAAGGTCAAGATCAGCTGATGGAACATCACCACTTATATCTCTGCCAAATCCAATACCACCACTGGGTCCTTTAATTTCAAGATTAGTTGATGGAACATCACCTCCTATGCTTCCACTTAAACCAGCATCACCTTTTATTCCACCAGTAGGTTCTTTGATGTCAAGATCAGCTGATGGAACATCGCCGCTTATGTCCATGCCAATATTAGCATCACCTCCAATTCCAATACTAGGTCCCTTAATGGCAAGATCAGGTGATGGAACATTGGCACCCAATCCAATGCTACCTCCATCTCCACCAACATTTGGTCCTTTGATATCCAAATCATTCGATGGAAGTTTAATATCATCACCTTCAGTTGTTAAATCAGCTCCTTCACCTATTTTGGGTACCCCGATGCCAATGTTTGTGGATGGAATACTACCACCAATTGTGCTATCGATATCCGCACTTCCTTTGCCATCCCCTCCTATGCCAAGTTTAAAATTTCCACCAATTCCAGCACTAGGCTTCTCGGTCCTTACATTCACTTCGCCATCATGTGAAATATCCATATCTGGAGCATCAGGTGAAACTTTGGGTAAGTCAACACCGATTCCAATTTGCTTATTATTTTCAGCCTCGTCAGATGATGATGCTGAATCCTCTAACTTTTTCTTTCCTCCAAGTGAAAAACGAAAACCACCTTTCTTTTTCTTGCCTTTGTGTTTTGGTTTCTTTACTTCTGGTTTGATATCTAATTCTGCTTGACCTTCTGGAAGTTGTGCAGTTCCTCCTGCTTCTGCTGTTGATGCAACTTTCACATCTGCTTCTGCTTGGCCATGCTTTCCATCTGAATCAGATTTTCCTAACTTGAATCGTCCACCAAATCCACCAGATCTTTTCTTTTTCCTTTTTGCACTTTTCTTTCCATTTACTGAGGCGTCAAAACCACCTTCCAATTTCCTTCCATCCTCCTCATCTGAGGAGGAGGAGGAGGATGATGACGACGATGATGAAGAGGAGTCATTGTCTTTTCCAAATCCAAATTTAAATAGACCAAATCCAAATCCTTTCTTATGTTTGTGTTTATGTTCAGATTCAACCTCAGCACCAGCACTGATTTCTGCTGAAACTGGTGCTGTAGGAAGATCTGCCTCATGTTCTCCATTTAATTTTGGTGACGGCAAAGCTCCTTCCATCGTCACGTCAGTTGAGCCTGCATTCAATCCAGTGTTAACATCAGCTCCATTAGATGCCTCCACACCAGCACTGCCTTTAATTCCATTTGATACACTAGTATTTACTCCAGCACTCACTGCATTATCATGATTAAGTTCTCCAGCATTAATTTCGACTTCAGCTTTTTTGTCGACATTGACATCAGTAGCTAATCCTATTCCAGCACTAAGATCAGCTTCGATGTCTGCTCCAGCATCACCTATTACTTCAGATTCCATAGCTGCTCCAGCATCCATAGCTGCTCCAGCATCAACTTTGGCATCTGTAGAAACATCAGCTCCAAGATTTAATCCAACTCCACCACCAAGGCCAACACCACCTCCACCACCTATTGACACGCTAAAAGACATGTTGATAGTTTGATGTCTTTAGCCAATGTTTGGATTTCTGCAAAAAAGCAAAAAAAGTTAATATTAGTTATTTATTCAAAATTAACAATAAAACAAAGTGTTTTACTCAAACCTAACATTTCCATCTTTTTTTATTGTAAAAAAATTGCATGTATCTAAATTGAAAATAATCATTCTCATGAAAAAAATATAAAACAAAATGATAAAAAAAAAAATCAGATTTGGCGTGAATGCACATTTATTCCAACTTTTAAGCCACAGTATGAACAGCTTCAGTGCTAGACCACTATGTTGACCTATCACCAGGCCACAGTCCTACTGTATACATTTACAGTGTACATAACATTGTATTGTGATATTTAAAAAATCCATTATCATGTCTATCATTTCTAATGATTATCATTAATGTCAGGCTCCGGAGGAAAAAAAAAATTTGATATGTTGTAGAACTGATTTTTCTAAGACAGAAAAAAGTTGTTGAATAAGGTGTAAAAATGGGCAGTTACGCCCCTTTTCCCCCAGTTTTTAAATATTAAAAAATCTGTATCTCATTCACCGTTCCCCAGTTTTTCGTCAAACAACTTTTTTCTGTCTTAGAAAAATCAGTTCTACAACATATCAAAAATTTTTTTTCCTCCGGAGCCTGACTTTAAAGGCGATGCATGCTCGTCCCCACAATAAAATAACTTCCACACCTAAGGAGACATACAAATTTGATAGCACAAATTAGTAGTTAAAAATCATGACATTTAGGCTTTTTAAGCTAGCACCTTCTCACTTCATCAAAGTAACACTTGTTTACCTCAATTTTTATTTCAAAAAAGCTGTATAGACATAGTAAATTTTGAAACAGAAATAAAAACAAATGGGTAAAATTTAAGTAATTTATGGGAATTAACAATATATGAAACTTACATCAATCTGAGCTTGAGGCTCAACCTCTCAACCCAAGAACATCAGTAGCAAAAATCATCAAATAATAATATCGTAATTACTCTGGTATAACCCCACCCACCCCCTCCCCCACTTAATCACAAAATTGGGCCAACATTTGGGGAGTGGGCTTCTACCCGAAGAATACAAATTTTAATCAAATGGCAATTTTTCAGCACTATGTCTAATTCAATGCCAATATTTGAAATTGTTATTTGAGAATATTTGTAAGTCATGGACTGGGCTTTTGCCCGAGGAAAGGCTGGTATGTAGAATTTGGCGTAAAGTAGGTGGTGGGCTTATGCCCGAGGAACTACGGTACTAGTGCAGTACCTATATATAGACCGTACCTCAGACCTGTCCCTGAATATTTGTTCCCTTAAAATATAACCACAATTATATTATAATTAGATCACTCTGCATCCTTACAATGCATTTTTTTTCAAACATCTTTACATAAACTTGATTTTCTCTGACTTTTTCATCCTGAACTTTAAACCCCTCTACCTTAAACCAATATGTAATACTCCACTAAATTGTATGATGATCCATTCATTTGTATTTGCATAATCGTGCTAACAGACAGACAAACAGCGATAAATACATAACCTATTTGGAAGCGGTAAAATATAAATAAAATGCTCAGTGTATTTTCAATAGATTTTGCCCAAGAAAATATGGGCTGTAATATTTTAATTTAATTTCCTTATTTTGATATTAAATTAAACGACATAAAAATCAGAAATAATCACAATTCATCACAACTCAAATTATTCATATTGGTAAGGATCAATTACAGGCCATGAAATCAATCTTTACAGTTTCATGGTTTTGAAAAGTAAACAGCATTTGATTATTGATTCAATGAGTTTGAATTAGACAATCTTTTTGTACAGACACACGTTAGGTGCAATCAGACCAACCTATCACACACCAATTACCTCCTGTTATTGATATACTGCAGGGTTTGAAGTACCTTATCACTACCTATTGGATTATGAAGTTCAACCATCTGCGATATACTAAAAATAAATTAAATAAATATCTGAATTGTTCAGGAGCCTAAATTATAAGCTTCCAAGTTCCAATTAAACAATAGAATGATAAAATATTTCCTTCACCAATTGACTGATACATAATTATCATTTCTTATATTTCTGAATAGACTCCTTAAATTAGCTGGTAATAAATTTCAGGATTTTTATAGCATTTATAGGTCTGTTTAAAAATCTAATATTTGGATTAATCTGTGTTTCTTTGTTAAACTTGATTGTTCCTTCACCTCTAATATGCAACTCTTTTATATAATATATATATATATATATATATATATATACTGTCTCTTATATGGACGATGCTTTGTAAACCAAGTTTCTTTATGAAGCTTAAAAGTTGTGTTGCTTTTAGTTTAATGAGTGTCATGGACCATGGACCAATTCAGTGACATACTGTAAATGCTCGAATAAGCGGCAATGAAATTTTTGGAGGCTTCGGTGCGGTGCTTATAAAAAATATAGCTGTGGCGCTTTCCATGCCCGTTCCCTATTTCACGTATTCTCGTTAGTCCTATCATAGGTCCTACATCATCGTAAATAACGTTTATAAAAAAAAATGTTTGTGTCTTCATTGTGTTATTTATTCATTTTAATTTTTAAAAAATGGAAGTAATTATATCAGATGTTAATCACCCTCTTAATCAGTACCTCGCCTTCAGCAGGACTGGACGTATCTTATATCCAAGGATGCGGACAAATAGAATTTGTAAATCATTTCTCCCAAGCGCTATGAGACAATTTAATAAAATGTGGAAAAGATAGGCCTATTCTGTATACCCCAATCTGCTTGCCTTTGCCAAAGCTGATTTTTTTACAGAATGTTTAACCAATTTTAATTTTTTTAGCCATTTTAATCTTTTAGCAGACTTTTATTGTTTTTAAATTTATGCTGTTAGCGGTGATTATTCGAGAGCGGTGCCCAACGAAAAAATTGTGTTTGGTGTGGCACTTATTCGAGCATTTACGGTAATGTCATTGGAATTGAAGAACCAATATATAAAATGTCAAATTGAACAAACGGACCCAGAAACACGCGCATGTCCCACAGATACGTGGCCATCTTGTGGATATTAGCAGAATAATATTATACTTTCTATTGCATCTCCCTTCTAGGAATACTGTAGGTTCATCAAACAAAATTAGAACAGTAAATAATCAATATTATCTATGATTTAGAATATACTTCACAACACTGGCAGTGAATTTTATTAACGTAAATATTTTTCCAGAAGGGTTGTAATTGACGCCCGAAATATACTTGATGGAGGAATTGCTTTTGAATTTTAACTAATACTATTATTCAGTAACCAAAAATTAATAGCTTAACTTTTAACAAAGTCTGCATTCAGAACATTCCAAAAGTTAACCTTGCCGTGGGGAATAGTAAAATACCGTCATAAGGGAGAGAATCCCCAAGAGATATGGCAACGTACAGCGTTGCTTATTTTGCCATCGCCATGGTAGCAACCAAAAATCTATGTTCGAATTCGTTCATGACCTTTGGGCCCTATGAATTCTCAAATATCAAAATATTTTTACATGATTTGTAAGAATTAATTCATCAATAAATGATTCATAATCGGGTGAGTTCATTCGACTATGCAATAGGTCTAAATATTAATTACACTCTGGTATTAATTAAATCGATCTAAACGAATTGTCATGACTCTAGCCTCGAATCACAAATCCTACCTAATTCACATGAAACCAGTAAAAATATCCCTCCTAGTAATGTTCGTTTTTACTCTACTTTATGGGCAGCGATATCATAGTTGTTTGTTGCCAAACCGACATATGTACCGTGTGCATATATCCGTACATTTATAAGCATTTTCAAATAAATTCAGTATAGTACTTGTATAGGCAGAGTATAAACATGATATTCATTGTAATTATTAGAGTTGCCATACAACGCCACCAAGACACGCCCCCTTGTGGCGAAGTTGTTTGGTACCCGCGTATCCTTTAAAACTTGAATAATTAACAGCATCATTAAGGAAAGAAAACCTACTACAAATAAATTCTACTCTTACCTATATCTATTGCCTGGATTCCTATTTATAAAATGTAGCGACAGAATGTTTCAAGTGAACTATTAGTCCTATTCCATTTTTCTTTGAAGGTATCCCGTGGTGCAAAATCTAACCTCTATTCGCTTCCTACAAACTGGGCGTAATACTTAATAGGCAAAATACATTCAAGTCTTCGGAAATCTCTACGATCATGCGCAAAGCTTCACACCCAAAATACATTCCAGAGCCCACGCGTGAAGCTAGCTATACATTCCATTGAAAATTGCTTTCTTCCAAATCACCAGCCTGCTAAAGCTTGCTGTTTGTTAGAACAAAACAAAAACCGGAGCGATTGTTAAAAGATTCTAAAATTCCACGAGAAAAATTGTTGTAAAAAAGTCACTTTGAATTCACGCAACAAACAGAAACTTGTCCCCCCACCTCCCAAAAAAAAAGATTCAACGAGTTATTCACAGTTGTATGGGGTTGCCTTAATAATAGATCACTGAAGTTGTTTTGTTTGTCGCTTCATAAAAGTTTCAGATGCATCGTATTTATAAATTTACAATTTATTCAGATATCAAAATGCTCTTAATATAATTTCATGCTTGGTAATTTCTCACAATGCATATGTAACAAAAACACAAATTAAGATAGAATATACTGTACTAGTCTACTAGACTGAAGTTTCACAAGCATTCTCCAAAACAGTTCCTTGCTTAAAACACAAATGTTGGTTTGTATGCCTAATCTGGAGAAAAACACCCCTGGGATATAGCATACAGACACATGCCAACACTATGTAGCGGCCTTGGTTACTGAATACTTGAGGGGTCAATCGTTAATAAACTTAGAATCTTAATAAAACAGAAAATCTTGATGAAAAATAATGTACCAACCAGGCTTCCAGACTTTTGTTTTATTAAGATTCGAAATTATAGGAGCTACTAAAAAATAATTCCGTATAATGTATATTCCGAAATGAGGAATACAATATCATGTACGATATTACCAAACCTCGAGAAAAGTGTGTCCTGTACTGGGAAAATGAGTAAATATTTAAGCAATTATTCTTGAGTTAGAATCACAATGAATACAAGAATTTTTTTATTTTAGAATTGTGACTATTTTTGTATACTAGTTGCACTTAGTATCATTAGCTAAATTCTGTCGTCCAGGTTACTGAGATGAGTTTATCGTGGCCTATCCAGGGTCAGCTGAGCAATGCAAGATGCCTTAAAATGGGGTTTTCTAAAATAATGAGTCGAAAAGTATACAACATGTTTTTTTTTTTTTTTTTTTTTTTACTGTGTCCGTAGGAAATATATTTGATCAAATAACACACACACCATAACATTATTATTGCCAACAATTAATTATTTGATTAACGATTTAACATGTTATGTGCAGTACTACGGTAAGCCTTCGGGGTGCTCTGAAGTAAGTTCAGTGTCCCTTAGCTCGTATATGCTCTTATTATGTATGAAACCAGATCATATGGAGGTATGACCATGGTATGATTGACCTCAAATAACCGATGAGTAAGAGGTACAGTAATAATATTAGGCCTACAGTATTTGTATTAGTGGGTTTATCTATTCATATTCAGCGATGCGTTCGCAGAAGACCAGGCCCATGTGTTCCCTACCAGGACTGCTCCCCCGGCCCAAAATTGATTCGTATAGATACTCAGTTGTCATGGCAAGGATAAAATTTATAATAGTAGTAAAGCAGTAGATGTTGAGTGTCAAAACATGGAGGAATAAGTAAGTGGGAACGAAGAGTTCCTGTTGGACGATTGAAATAAAATTTTAAAAAAGATAGAAACTCCTTAAGTTATCGCCGATCTCAAAAATCGCTGCGTACCAAACCTGACGTATTTTCGGGTTTTTCGGGAGTTTCGCGCTCTCATAATCTTCGCGTTAAACGGGACGTTTGTTTGCTTTTTTATTTATTTTTTCGCCAAGTACCTCAATAAGCTTAATTTTTATCTTATGTCACCACCAAACAACCTATTTCAAAGGGACTAAATATTCCATGGTCCTTGTATCATAAAAATACTTAAATTTAATTACACCGCAATTGCTATGTACTAATGACGCATTTCTACTAAAAGCTCATTTTAGAAATAATTAAATGGTAATTTGATAAAAAAGGTAAACCGTAAGTGTCCTATGGGTAAATAAAAAGGTAACATTCGAAACGCCACTCTAACATTGTGTAATTAATGCCGCACTAAAGAGAGAAATGCTGTCATCAAACTGTAAAGACCTGCTGGTATGCATTGAGATATTATTATACCTAAAAATTAGATAGGCCTACATAAATAATATTTTAGTAGATTTAAAATTCCATTTTCCCTGTTTCCAACTCTCATACTTCTGAACAATATCGTTTATGAAAGCACAGATATCAATCGTTACGATTGTTTTTTAAATACAAAAATAAATACCACGAAACGCCGTCGAGACCCACCTTGGAACCAATAAACGTAGGCCTGATAACTAGCATCTCTGAATAGGCCTAATATATTTCCATGTGTACATAGAGTATTGTATTATACACAAAATAGGAACGTACATTTATAAATTAATATTCCTTTATAGTAGGCTGGATTTATGATATTCTGTAAACCATTGATTATTATGTACTTGTTTTCTGCCAACAGAATGCAGAAAAAATTAAACCCCCAATATAACAATACCTTTCTGTTGTAGCCACATAATCGGCAAAGAATAAGATTTAACCCTATGGCAGCTTTCGATTTAGGCCTACATACCTTATGGTTATCGAACCAATTTAAAAATAAAAAACAACAACAAAAGAGTTTGGAATAAGATGTTAAAGGGTTGGCTGCACTACAACTTCAGAGGGTAAATAATACGAGAAGTTTGGGAACGTTGGCGACTACTTTACTGGAATCACAATTGAACTTAATTAACAATTGCATTGCAGGCCTAATTAAGACCGTGTATTTTGAGGATGCAATAACATTAGAAAACAATTGTATTGTTATTTACCATCCTGCATTTTTGGAAGGGTGGGGGCATTATCTCGGTATTCACAATCAAACCCAAGCTCCACTTAAAAACAAATTAATATTTTCTGGTAGCTTGTGGGTGAGACAGAAGTACCCGTAATGGTATAAAACATACAAACATGAATATACTGACGCAAAAATATCAATTTGTATATTTTTGCCATCAAATGTAAGTTAATAAGTCACTGATCAAAAAATGCTAAGGATACTTGTTATTTTATTCTTTGCTTTGAAAATTACTGTAGGCCTATATTATCGTTGCGAACGGATCGATATGTTTAATGAATCAGGTAGTTTCGATCAACCCTCTGGTTTATTAGAAGTAACAATGACCTCTTTAATGGAAAAAAATAATCTGATGAGCAGTATATAGACTACGTTGTGAACGAACAGTAGGCCTACTTAAAATCTTTCACACACTCGACACGCGGTGCAAGTAGCAACAGATGGTCGTTGGTGGTCAGTGTATGGAGGAATATGTTTTATCACAGATCCAATATAGGCCTACGTGGTTTTATAATATTAAAACGATGTCATTTTTTATCAGGCGTCGTGCTTTTTAGAGAAAAGGGGATATTAAAGACTCAGTTATTTTTCTTTCATTTTCTTCATAAAAATGGTCGTCGCGACGCACACAAAATAGTCGTATATCTAAGGCTGAGTTTACACTAGACGCGCTGGAGCAAACGCAAGTAACCCAGTTGTTTTGCGCGCTTGTTTTGCGACTGTGCAACGCCCTAAAATTGCTCTACTATGATAAAAAAAAAAAAAATGAAGTTTTGAAAACTTTCTGTTTTAAATGTGGCCTAACTGTAATTCTAATAAACGTCGGATCGTAGTTTAAAGCATTTATTTTATATATTTAAATAATTTTTTTTTTCAAATTTAGGTATCGTGCGTGCAAGGGAATTAAAACATATGGTTATTTGCAATATATTTCAAATTAATTAAATGCGAGGTAAATAGGATGCGAGCTATTGTAACCTACGCTTTGCTTTTTCAAGGACCTTTTAGGTCGCCGGTTCAGCTGGCCATGAATACAAGGCTTACTTAAGCTAAGTACCAACATGTTGCCATGAATACGATATTGAGGGAAGATAGTATGTGCAAACATGGTGGTGGTGGTGGTGGTGAAGCGATGTAGGTCTGCATTCTTCACACATCACATGATTATACTTTTAATGTTAGGCCTTTTCGTATTATAATAATATATCAGTATTACACATGGATAAGCTTAGTTTAATCTATCGTAAAAGTCACCTTAATAGGTTGATTATCCAACTATCTAATCGATGAATCCACTACTTAATTAAATTCAGATTTCATTTATTGACGCACATGAAATGCTTCTATCTATTTCTCTAACAGCAGAAAATATAAACACAATATAAAATAAACACCGTATGTATGTACACTAAATAAAGATGCTAGACTATTTTATACAGTAATAATAATGGTAAATATGAAGTAACCTAGTTATGAAGGAAAACACAATTGGCAATTGTGATACCCGGCGTTGATATTTCCATGATGACATAGATACAAAATTTAAACGTGTGCAGTTATATTATATTGCCTCCATGACAATACATTAACATAAATGAAATTGCGATACAAATGTATTGATCATGTTATAAATAATTTTACTATACAGTCACACAAACCCAATGTACACAAGTACCTTACTAACTAGCAAAGCATTCTACTCTAATAATGAACATCCAAAAGTGTGTCTAAATACCGTATTTTGCAGCATATTAAAATTAAAAGCGTGAAACCCATGCAAAAGATTGCTTTAACATGCTGAATGTTCACCTGGTTGTGCTATGGACGATAAATAATGCTATACCTAGACATATTATTTAGTAACGATCGAAGAAAATTCAGTACACGAACCTTTCGTTCCAAACAATCACAAATACGGCTATCCAATCGTCTGGTCGAAGCTTGATAAACAAATACAAAATACTATAAGCGATTCAGAGTGAGAATATAAAATCCTTCTGAAAAACTCCAGCAACAAAAACTTCAGCTTAGCATCGTAACTCAGAAGCCATCCCTCTCGGTAATACCTGCTATTTTGCCTAGGGTACACTCCCTTGCGACCTTACTGCTGGGTAATTAAACTCGTTTTACTGTGTGGTAGCCACTTTGCAATTCAAATGACTATTCCATTTACGTTTTGAGAAAAAGTCTTCAGCATTGTTATTCATTAATCCTAATGCGCGTTTGTATGAAGCTTACCTTGATACAATTCAAACCGCGTCACGATTGGTTGCCTTCACTTAATAGGTAAGCACAGGACTAAAACCGAGTCAACCTACGCGTAGCAAAATAATGAAAAACCACAACATGGTAGCTGAATAGACCATGAATAGACCTACACAACTTTACTGAATCGATGACTTAAGAGGTATTCTTCTGAAACGAAACTAAATAAAATCTAAAAAGCTGTTTGTTTAATTACTGTATATAGATCGGCTAACTCAAGGCCCGAATAAAATACAGATGGTCCCAGGCAAGTGACTACCTTATATTCTGTTGCATGTGATTATTTTTTGGTGCATGCAAAATCCAACAGGGCCGCCGCCAACCCACGCCCACCCCCAATAAAGTTTTTCTTAAGTTAAAAACAAATTGGAAAAAAACTTTTAAGAATTGCATTCAGTATTTATGTCTGATAGTGCCCGCCATCTATAGATATTTGTGTACCTCATCCCATTCATGTTGGAACCGAGACGATCTTGGCCCTGCATCTCCAAAATTTTCTCCATGGGCCTTAAATCTATGTGGATTTCTTTTAATCTTTAATCTTTTTTACTGTAATTTGTTGAAATTCCTGTATTTGTATATTTTTTAATTAGGTGAGTTCTTGTTGTGCAATGTAATATTTACTTTGTAATAAGAATACGCCAATTCAGCTACTGGCTGCGATTATATTTTTAATTTTGAGCAATAAAAAAGATACCAAGAATAATTTCTGGATCTACCACCATATTAAATATGAATATCATAATCACGTAATAGAGATTCACTTATTTTTTTTTTCATTGTTTTTTTTCTCTTTCTTTCTTTAATGTCTGTATCGACTTTCATTTCCTTCAAGGCATGCCCACAAGATTTTTTATCTTCTCGGGATCATGCCTTCTTCCATCGATTATTTACGTTATTATTTTAAATTATATTGTATTGTATATTTTTGTGTTTATTCTATGGAAGTAAATAAATGTCTTTTGAAATTGAAAAAAAAATAAAAAATTAAAAGAGGGATGGATCTGGCAGATGTAAAACACAGGAAAAAGAATGTCAACTCAGCATTGTCTGCTGGGATACTGTATTGGAATTTGGGAGGGTCCAAAGTATTTATGTGTTAGGGGTACCGGGTTCAATGAGAAGTATCAGAATAATCTAACTATTCCGACCAGCATTTTGTCGACAGTTAATATACAGGCAGAATTAACTTCCGATTGATTAGATAACGCGTACAGTATACAGTACCCTGATTATCGAGCCTATCGTACTGTACTAAAATATTATGTGATCGTAGCCTCGATTTCATACCACAATATAACTACCATCATTTCATTTTTATCGGTTCAATTATTGCATAATTACAATGCTGTGACAGCTCTATTTTATTGTCAGGACATCGAAACACAAAAAGAATCGAGCGATAATACATCATTTATGCATTAACGTTTATGATGGCCAGTGCAATTGATTGGAATTAGAACAGCATAACTCAGAATCGGTTCAATCAAGAGAAAAAAAATCGCGACCTTAATATAGTACCGTATATGATGCAAATAGCGGCGCTACGGATTAAACCCTCGTCGGACAGACCAAACCCCTCCCTCCTCTCCCACCGTCTACCACAACTCGTCGGGCCAAAATAAGGAAATCATATTTTCTTTTATTTATTTTTGGCCATACAGTAATACGTTCCAAAAATTCTTCGAACACCTTTAAAAATTGCCCAGTTTTTCTAGACGCATAAGGGGAGGGGTACCTCACCAGTACTCCCTACCCGACCCAGCTTCCCTCAGCCGGAAATTGTCAGACCTGAACAGGAACAGGTAGGCTATATCAGCTAACATGAGCCCTGGTGCCTAATTTCAACACCCTGGCGAAATTATTTAGTCCATTTCGCGAGGTGTATTCATTAAAAAAAATTCATTCAAAATGGCTCTATTCTCCATCCCATCAACTGCATAATGACCATTGGAACACGCCTATTCAGACAATAACAGGTGTAAATTGGAACCTTGGCAAGGTTGATACATTGTGTTACATGGTCACAATAGATCCTCTCGTTCTAAGTAGTTCAATTGAATTGTTCTTGGCTTTATAACGAGTTGAGCTTTTTTAAATGTTTCGAAAAAGAAAACGCAAGACAAAATATTTTAATTTCCAAAACTAGAAACAATTAAGCAGGGGAATGACTTTATAACGAGCTGAGCTGTTCTTAAGTTTCGAAAAAAAAAAAAAACGCAAGAAAAATATTTTAATTTTCAAAACGAGAAACAATTAAGGAGGGAAAATCACATGGAGGATGTAGATATGTACTCTTATAAAGTATGTTATGTAAATGATGAAATTATGAAAATATGGATGCTTCTTGGCACTTTCGATCAAATGTTGATTCTGAGTTAAGTATTGATTCCGCATGTAAAGTTAATAAGATAGGTGTTTTGTATTGTAGCTTATATATCTCTTAGTAATTATCGTAATTTTGAAAATGCTCCATTCAAACGCTCGTTAGGTATTTTATTTAACGAAATTGCTATCAATAACAATTTTATTTATTTTTTTTACTTAGGCCTACAAATTACTCAATATTCAATTCAGTTTATACTGCAATTTGTTTCATGTACATATTTGATGTTGAAATAAAGATACCGAAATGTAATTTCATCAATTAAAATTTATATGATTCACGTGTCACGTTGATAATATTCTACTTGCTCCTATTTCAAGTACAATTCTAAAGTGAAAAATGTTATTATGTAATAGGCCCTACAGTATTACTATTTATTTATGCAATGTTCGAAGAGTATGGTAATTATGCATTAATTAGCATATATTACTATATCAGTGTCTGCCAAATACCATCAAATGTAATGTCACACGAATAAATTATTTGAAAAACATATTTATATTCATCATTCCCACGTGATATTGACACGAAAACATTATCCAAATTTGGAGGTATGGTTTGACATGCGCCCTCAATTGTTAAGAACTCGGAATTAATTAATCTTCTATTAAGATTTAGGTATTTTATTCCATCGTAAGTACTGTAATACAGATAATATTGTCAAAGACTAAAGCTAAATGAATTAATTGTTTATTTAATTTTTAACACTAACCTGTTGAAAATTGATAAATCGTTACCCTATTTCTCCCTGCATTACAAATCACATAAAAGTACAGTAAGCGATTTCACCTGAATTAGCTGGATTTCTAGGTCACTATCAAAAAGGATGATCGCCTACACATTTCAAGTATGTTTTTGTTGTAAAAGTTGGCAGCTAACAATAATGTCAAATCCGCGGAAGAACTCTGTCGCGACACTAACCACGCATCGGAACCGATCTATAGCATATACTTCGCCATATAATTTCATTACCACGCGCTCGTGTCCATCAGACGTAGAGTAGAGGCAATCGATAAGCATTACAACATTATTTTGCGTATTATTGTCGAGACAGCCTTGATGCTGTGCCCTGGTATAAACTTCACCGTATCATTCACTCTCTGCTATATGAATAATTGATAAATTTAAACATTTACGAACGCTTGCGGAGTTCGATTTTCCGCACAACTGTTTTCAGAACATAAAATAATCTTAGATAAACAACAAAATGTATGGTACATATTATTATAGTTCTATTATTATTGAATAACACATTTAGTGTTTGTCACGGTCTAATAGATTGTAATAAAGTTTAAAGAATTCGGTATCGGAAGAATGAGTAGAGTACTGTATATTGTTTGTATCCCCTCGCCTACATGTATCATTGTCACAAATCCTGTTATTATTTAACCATCGCAAATCGTATCACATTCTATACAAGCAAATGGTGTTGTGTGGTGAGTATTTCCGTTGTTTTGTATTTACCAAAACTCTCAAACAGTGTGACGCCGGATGTAACCACAGAGAGAAGATTCAAGATTGAAGATTCAAGATTTATTTTCGTCATACCATGGAGGAATAAATAATAATAATAATTCCTCCATGGTCATACATAGTACACATATACGAGATTTATTGAGATTTGAGAGATGCGTGAACCACGCGCAACCACAAATCCAATGCTTTTTCTTGTCGCGCCCCGTCCTGCGTATCGTAATACTTCTTGAAATGCGAGGAAAAGTCAGCAAAATAAAAATAAAAAGTTGGTGGGGGGAGGGGGGAAACACGTTTCCCATCCTCTTCTTTATCTTTTTGGGCTGTCTCCTTCAATTCACTTTCCTAAAAATCCACACAATCCTGTAAAAATATAAAGCCTGATCAAGAAACTTTTTCGCGACCTAACTACTTTTCAGTGGTTTTCAGTACTTAATAAAAGTTTCATCAGACACAGTGTCACCAGGCCATACGTCCTTGTTTTTGTACAGTATTCAGAATTGTGTGTTAAGTCTAACCGCGTATTAAGAGGAAATAATACATTGGTATTTTAAGTAATGATTCCAGGGTCACTTATCTATTTATCATGCATTGTAATTATTATATTCATCAATTATGCCGCAACGCTATAAACACGCAAAGGATTATTCGGTATTCGAATTTTATCTTCAGTAATTACAAAGGCCGGCCTAGGCCTATATATACTGTAATTTAAATATTCTACTAGGACAGGATTGCATCAGGAAGATCGCCCTCAAACAATATCCACGTTTTTTTTCATTAAAAGTGAAATCATTACGCAAAAATTAACATACGTAAATCTTAGGTTAGCAGAAGCGCCCTCATGATGTATCAGTACATAATTACTAAGACCATTATACCCTATGCTTAGACCAATGACGTCATGGTGATGATGGTAACGATGGTATGATGGTGGTGTAGAGGATAGTGATCATAATGACAACCAGAACCCTGCGGGTGGTTACCGTACGTACCTTAGTACGCAAAATTTAAACGCTTAAATCGTCTACTAAGGAAATTTTAAACATACGCTGTATTATTGTTTGCTTCGCG